TGTTTGTCTTAGTCCCCTCTACCTTCCCATGACCGGACGTCAAAGTCTTGCGTAGCACCCTGTATACGAACATCTTTTTAAAAGGCCATAGTTTTGGCTAAAAAATTCCCAAAATTATGTATTTTTTTGGCTTACTAACTGAGCACGACTCCTTAAATATCATTGTTAAAACAATTTATACTTCTATATTTTTATTTTACTACTTTATTTCACTCTATTTCTCCTTGTCAGCTATGATCACATGTAAGCGGAATTCTGATGATTATTCCTCTTGTTTGAAACGCGCTTTAGACGAAACATGGTGGCCGCAGCTTTTAAAAGGTAATCCTCCAAAAAACTTATTTTTTATTGCTTCGTTTAAATACCTTTAGAATAAAATATATTTATTATTATTTACAATTACATTACTGAATCATTATAGATAAAATTATAAACTTAATTAAATTAATTATAACTTAATTAACATTAGCAATAAACAGAAAATAACTTATACTGATTTAAAAAGTTTTTTAAACAATTTTTTTAACAAAATACGGATAATTGTACTTTATTTGAAGAAAATACTGTAAAATATAAATGTTAATATTATCTCATTAACTTTAATTCCAGGGATGCCAGAATTTGACGTTCCACCAATAGATCCATTATTTGCCAAATACGCTAAAATTATATTTAATTCTAACCTTATGCATGCAGAAGCAATTATTTCAAATCTCTCTGCCATTGGTTTAGCGGAGGCTAGTTTTTCTGATATAAGAACATATTTTCTTGATGACGTGTTCCGTGTGGAAATCGACGGTCAAGTACCAAGTATGTTTGTAGAAGCTGCCGTGAAAATAAATGGTGTTCTAAGTATATTCAAAGTTGCCGCTGAAGGTACGGTAATAAATTTTACATAGCCTGAGCGAAGATATGCCATTATGTACATACATGCATATAAATAAATGTGAATGTTGCATATATATATATATGTATAATAAATTAATGCATATCAATATAAAACTAATATTGTGATAAAATTATTGATATTTTTCATAATTTAATTACTTTCAAAGAAATAATTGCTTTATAAAAAATGTTTCATATTTACTTTATGTCATTGTCACAATATATTTTATGTATAAGGTCATTTAACTGTGACTGCGAACGATATTAGGGGAACATGCAGTTTAATAGGACACGTAGCAAACGATACGTGGATTGTTGAACATTTTCGTCTCCTTCCATTAATTGGAAAGTTTAAAGTGTCTTTTGATAATTTGTTAGAAGGCAGTAAAGAATTCAGTAAGTATTAAACTAATTCCGATGTAATTTCATTAATCGTTACTTTTTCTAGTATTGTATTATTACTGATAGAATAATCAGGTAAATATAATATCACGCAATTTGTACGTATGCAATGATAAATTTATTTTCGTAAGTGTAATATAAGTAATTATAGAGACTGTCAGTCTCTATAAATATGAAATCAAAAGTGCAAAACAGTGATACATATGACTATATTTATTTTTAACAAATTAATAAAATTCGTATGGCTCAAAGGTAATAAATTTGAAGGAATATAAGACTAAGAGCCGTGACAGGTTGTTTAGTGTCTAAATATTTCATCCTAAATTTATCGCGAAAAGAATCACCTCAGCCAGGGTTTGAACCTAGATTTATTTTTAAGATGTAATCTTTCGTTGATTTGTTACTTGTTAAGCTGTTTTTTACTGAAATACACATTTAAATATGACCTTTTATTTTCAGGTGATATTGTTATAACTTTTGTAAATGAATACTGGCCGTTGGTATATCGCGAAACAATGCCATTCTTGTTTGACAGAGTTGACCCATTGGTAGTTGAGTTTCTCAATAAATTTTTCTCAGATGTTTCCTTCTCGAAAGTATTTCCATAACTTGTATATTTATTATACCTTAGTGAAATGTGAATTTCTTATAAAACTGGAAATACCATTAGTAAATACAAAAATATATGGAATACTACTTAACAACCCTGAAATTCTACCTAACTTGAAACTTTATTTTTAACTATTGTGTATAAACAGGTAAAATAAATAACTTGAAGAATTTATTTTAATGTAGATTTTTTATGTTTTTATATTCAGAAGTAATGTAATTAATCAATAAAAATAATTACTAACTTTAACAATATTTTTTTCCTTAAAAAAGGTAATATTGCGTGTTGGGAATTTTATTATCATTTATCTCATAAATTACAGACTCCACGTGTATTAAAATAATAAAGATCATTTTATCATAGTTTTTCTACTGCATACTACATACATGCAGTAGATGAACGATATTATTCTCTTATTACGTAAAAATTACAATAAAGTAAAGTTAAATTCTTCAAAATAAAATATTAAGTAACATAGATTTAAACCATTTTCATAACTCACCAACAGATACGTAAATAGTTACAAATTTTTTACAATTTTTTCTTCCAAGCATTGTTCTCTTTTATGCATTTCCTTCCCCTTTGTTGTAGTTGTGAGTAGATCCGGGGAACAAGTACGCGGCGATGCGCGGTGATCGCGGCATGACCATCGAAGCTCGCGCGAATCACGCAGCGATCACTCGCCACAATCTTGATCGGAGCAGATCGTTCGATCATTGCGACGCGCATATATTTATCTTAGCGATCAAGCGAGTTCGTAACACGCATTGCCAGCGAACGAGTTGAAAACCGATTTGAAAAACAAGTCGAGATTGTGCAATCGCATCTCGGGCGGTCCGGCGAAAACTCCGCGAGCGGCGCACGTGGCGAAAGGTCGGTCGAAGTGAAGACGGCTTGCGCAAATATCGTATACGGGCCATCGATCCATTCGCAGCTGTTTATCACGCCAGACGCCTCAAGCGACGTTCACCACTCGACTCGTGGCGCAGTCCGATCCTCCGAACGCTAGATCCACTGTGCACTATATCAATAAAGGAATATAGTGAATCTCACGCGCCTTCTGTGTGTAATTCATTATTCAGTTTTGCCCATTTACCCTTCCCTCCGAGAGCTTCAGTCAATACGCGAACTTATAAATGAAAAAAATGTTTTAAATATAACTGATGATAAAATATATCATTTACAGCTGTCCAAGAAAAGTATTAATTAGTACACATATATTATAATAAAGAAAAGTCCTCTATTCTGAGATAAGATTCGTACATGGGATAGCAGGTTTTCGTTTTAACGTCCAAATACAATCACAAATCTTTTTTCGCAACGATTACACAATCCAATAATCAATTTTCCATTAATCAGGTTTCACTCCAAGGACAATAAATTCATGGTGGAAGTAACAGATGATGCCTATCAATTTAGCATAAACTCTGCTATATTATGAGTGAAGCAAAATTCATAATAGGGGACATTCCTCTATGTTATGTGATTACATAATTACACGCTAAAGATTATACGAGTTTGGGTTATAAATATGTTTATCTCTCATATACGTCAGAATATTAAAATTTAAATAAGAAACCTTGACAATTTGTAATATAAAACGCGGAATCTATAACGAATCAACACTTTTTGCACGTATAAGAAACAGGGAACATGTTGGTCCGCGCGCTTAGTATATTTGGCGTTACAATATTTGGATTATTCTCGGCTGCAGAATCTAATCTTCGTAAGTCTTCATCGATTTCTTTACAAATTGTCCCATGTACTAATTTTAAATATATTGTCATTCCTATTTTTAATATCTATACAAATTATGTTACATCCCAGAAGAGTTTGCAATACAGCACCAATATAGAGTTGATATAAACATCATTCCAAAACAGAAAATAATATAATTTTTTTTATTGCATTCTATTGCATTATTGAAAATTAAAAATTAACACGTTATATGTATATGTTTCCAGTAACAAAGGTGTATAAATGAATAGACGGTCTACATAGTGTAATAGTGGTGATTCTTCTTTCGTTTAAATACCTGGAAATTTCTATAATAACACAGATTTGCAGCTAAAATTATTTCGGACTGTGTGTTTGATATGAAATAAATAACTGAAAAGTGATATACAAAATTAAAAAATGCATTTTACAGAGAATTAAATGCATTCATTACTTCTGATTAAAATATCTAGATATCATTCATTTTTGTTATAAAAGCATTTCACATACCGCAAAAGTGTCACTTTAAACATCAATTATCACAACAACTTAATGTGTTTCTGAAATTTATGTCGCAACAATGTTTTCAGCATAAAAAACTGTATTTTAAAATATCCTGTCTAATTCACAATAATAATAAAAAGTTACGTGTAAACTTGTATAATTGTTCTTCTGCAATTGTTATAGTATAAGAGATTTTTTCTTTTATTAGAAAACGTTCATTTCATATTTCTCCAAACAAGTAATGTTCTAATTTGTATTTGTACATGATAGTTTTTATTTTTGCTAATCTAGATTTTAAGTTGTGGGATGTAGTAAGTACATTACCATAAAAAGAAAAAGACTAAACAAAAATCAGCTTTTCACTTACAATATAAACATCGAGTAAAACGCATATAATTAAAAAAAATTAAACTTTAGATTATGTGTAATAACAATTTTAAAGTATTTCTCTTATTGTATTACTGTTTTTATTCAGCTATAACCACGTGCAAACGAGACGTAGTTGATTATTCAGCCTGTTTAAAGCGCGCTTTAAAAGAAGCATGGCCACGATTTAGTAAAGGTATGCATTTAAATAGTATACATTTTTTTATTCTTATTTTCCATACCTTTTAACAAAATGTGCATTACTCTTTACAATTACGTTAACGTAACATTAGAAATATTTATAAATATTCATCGATTTTAACAAAAATATTAAGTAAAAAAGTAATGTATATAAACAATGTATAAAGTTATTTAAACACATTTTCATATACATATGCGTTCTTCCTGTTGGCAGGATTACCAGAATATGATTTTCCATCTTTGGATCCACTATTTTACAAATACGGTAAATATATATTATCTTCTGGTGAAGTACGTGGAAAACTAGTTCTGCTCAATGTTACTTGCATTGGATTATCCCACATACATTCTTCGGATATAAGAACACATTATAATGATGACGTCTTCCGTTTGGAAATTGACGGACAAGTACCGTACCTGCGTATAGAGGGTACCTATCGTATAAATGGCAGTCTAAGTGTATTCAAGCTTGTTACTCAAGGTACGATAATCTATTTTACTCATTTTATATAAACAAAGACACATTATTAATTTTATTAGATATATTCCTATTTATAATAAGTATAATCATATATGTATACACGTTATACACTATTTTTACAAAGGAATTAGCATAATCTATGCTGTGTGCTTACAATCTCCTTATTAACTCAATTAAAGTGTTGCAAAACATCAATTAAAATGATTACAGTTTAGTAAATTTCATAATATGTACCTTTATGTATACATATATGTGTGACTTTGTATTGGGTAATTTATCCGAATGTGAAATACTTCTTCTTAAAATGTTTCTAATTACTTTTTATGTTGTTTAAAAAACCATTCTTTTAAATAATCTGAAAAAGTAACAAATTTACAGATTTTTTATTTTCATCCTGTATATTTCATATTAGCGACAGCAGATCGCCAATATGAGATACGCCAGTGCTGGGTGGAAGCATGGAATTCTCTGTTATGTTAGATGACAAATTTTATAAAATGATGAACCCAAATACTATCATATATCAATACTTTAATTGCAAATTCAAAATCTAAATTCCAAATCGTTTAATAAAATATAAAACTAATAAACATAACTTCTGTAATAAATAATAAAAATATTCATTTTTGGAAATCGATGTTTTTAAAACTAATATCAATTACTAACTCAATAAAATTCAAACAAAACTAATTTTTTACGTTTTAGTATAGTCCACTTTAGTAATTGTCATCGATTATCTGTTTCTTTATGTTTGACTATTGCATTAAGAAAACCAATTATAAATTTTGTTATTTAAAATTATAGTACAAAGCTATAGTGTAACAAATAAAAGTAATATAAGTCATAAAAGTGACTACTTAAATAATCTATTTTTCACTAAGTGTAACCAAAAACAATGTGCGTACCGAGATCAACATCACAGACTCACCACTTGCACACTCTCTAAAAATAAACAAATTCAGCTGCTTTATAATGATGGTATTTATAGTTAGATCATATATTAAAGATTGTTTTAAGATCATCTTAAGATATTTCATAGCCATTGAAACGTTCCATACAGCATCTCTCGATAAATTCAAGACAGTATATGAGATCTGGATATTTATCATGGAAATGTTCATAAATGATGCCGATCGGAATCCATTCAGAACATTTCCATGATAGGCACCCTGATTATGAATACGGGCCTCAGAGATGATGGTTTTTGGCTGTCTAAAACAATTATGCTAGGAATTTTATATTCGGCCGGTTCACCCTATGTGTATAGAGGGCGTCCCCAATTTAAACGTCAAGACTTCGGGAGCGTGTAGAGATCCTGTAAATTAATAATAAGTAGAATAAAACCGAGCAAATTTTCAAAGGACTTTTTTCTTAATTTCTCGGACCTCTACACACTCCCGAAGTTTAAATTTGGGACTCTCTGTATATAATATAAAATATATTACATCTACTTCTAATATTAAGTAAATTATTATAGTAATAACTGATTATAATGTAGCAGTTCTAAAAAGAATCGGCACAACTGTTTAAAATTCCCATATATTATTGTTATAATTGATGTAACAGGTCATTTTAACATAACCGCACATGATATTAGAGCAACAGGAGAGTTGACAGGACACCTAGTAAACGATACGTGGATTGTTGAACATTTTCATGCAATTCCATCAATTGGGAAAATGAAATTTTATGCCGACAATTTAATCGAAAGCAGCAAACAGCTTAGTAAGTTTAAAACACATTTAGATATAACTACATACATTTTTGTTATCTTTCCAAATATACATTAAATTATCAGTCTGTGAAGGAAGGCAAGGCCAATGCGAGCCGTACGCAGAGATTAAGGCGTAATCTTTTCCGTCATCACGGATATTTAATATTAAAATTTTTAATTCAAATTACAAACGTTTCAGTCCCATTTGGATCATCTTTAGTGTAAATAAAATTTGTCTACAAAAGTTGAAATCATGTAAAGTACAATACGGCGGAAACAAAACGGAATAATTTGAAAAAGAAGTTCCAACCACAATTGATGAAACGAACTTATAAACTAAAATCTTTGTGTCTCTTGAGACAATCGTCGACGTATCTCGTTCTCTCACATCCCAAAAGTCTCGTAGCACTGACATTTCTTGCAAGGATGTAAGGAAGAATGCAAGATGTATTAAATAATGACTGTAAATATAAATCACGATAGAAAACAACGGTTTCTTATAAGATAAGAGACTCGCTCGAGAAGAAAGAGAAACGTCTACTTAAATTATCAGAATGTATATACGTATAGCTACTTTATTTTAATACGATTAAATATATGCAAATTGCAACATTTTGATCAATATAACGTAGAATAATTAACTAAATACGAATAAATCATAATTTGTACAGAGATACAAAAATATTATTATAAATTACTAGAACAATGTAAACTAGAATATCCATATAATTGTAAAATTGGACCACTTAACAATGAGAAAAATTAGAAGTCTATTATAAATTATAGTTATATTTTTTACCTTTATCACAATATTTTTCTATTAAAATTTTACTATTTTATTTACTTTTTGCAAACATAAAATCGCAAAATAAAAGTAGTTAATTCTGCAAATATTATATTTACATAAAGTTTGTGTTGATTTGATTTTTACTGAAAAACATTTTTTATTTACAGATGACCTTGTTCTTGATTTTGTAAACGAATATTGGCCAGCAATATTTCGAACAATGTTGCCATACTTGGTCAACACATTGGACCCATGGTTGATTGAATTTCCTAATGCAATCTTCTCCAAAGTACCCTTCTCAGAAGTTTTTCCATAAAATTAATATTTTTATTGTACCTATATCAAATAAATACTAAATTCTTCCAAAATTTGAGAACACGTCGAGTTTTGCAAAAGATATGTTAAATGTGTCTCATTATCTTATTTCTTAATTAATATTTGTATTTAAATATTATATGTAAACGACGAAAGGAGAGTTTGCTTATTGTCATCAGTAATGATTAAAAATTGAGACGGGAAACGTATAGTCAACCCAACTGGCTAATTATTTAATCAATTTATCACACAATTGTGTAAATAATCAGCCAGTTGGGTTGACTATAAGTTTCCCGTCTCAAATTATATGTAAATAAAATGTAATATATTAAATAAGTAAATAAATAAATTAAATTAGTAAGAAGTAGTAAGTAAATAAGTAAATAAAATATACATTAATTAAAGTATTAACTTCAGCGGAAAATTATATATTAATTATATAGAATAATGAATACCTTTAAAAAAAGTTTTTATTGTACTTAGAAAAATATAAAATCGCGCATTAGCAATTTACTTATTATTCATCATATAAATCATGAGTCATTACTATAACAGGTATATCAAAACAATAAAGTTAATGATCGTACTTTTCTGCGATTATTTTATTCATATACAGGGTGTTATGTAATACCCGCCTCACCTCTTATTTACGCATAGATCGGACTAAACTGACAATGAGTCGGAAAGTCCTCTACCATTTTGCAATTTTCTTAACAGTTAACGAGTTATTAATTATTAAAAATCGTTATTTTCGCCCGGCCTACCGCCCAATTTAATTGCGCAGCCAGATGCGGCCGTCCCGCGATCGGTATTGCTAGGTGCGCGGGGAGTTGTTTATGACACACGGCAACGGCTACGTATAATAGCATCTCACCGCGCGTTTGAATACGGGCTAATACAGCGATTTTTAATAATTAATAACTCGTTAATTATTGCAAAAATTGCAAAATTGTAATGGACTTTTCGACTCATTGTCAGTCTAGTCCGCTCTATCCGTAAATAAGAAGTGAGGCGAGTATGACATAACACTTTAGATACCGTTTTTTGTCATACACGTCATCATCGTTAGAAATTGTAATAGAAAACCTTGAAACTTGTAATTATATATAATGCAGAATCCGTGGTCAGGCACATTATGTATACTTATATGAAATAGAAAACATGTCAGTCTACGCGCTTACAATTTGTATCCTCGGCATTGCAATAGTTGGATTATCCTCTGCTGCAGAATCTAATTTTCGTAAGTATTCATAGAGTTTTAAAAAATTATCTCATACACTCATTTTTAATAAATTATTACTCTCACTATTAATATACAGGGTGTTCCGCAGTACTCTGACCGCCGTTCACGGGGAGGTAGAGGGGACTAAGCAAACAGAAAAGTTCTCAACTATTTTGCAATGCAGCAATAGTTATCGAGATATTGAGGATAAAAAATTGCCGTATTAGCCCGATATACTGCCAAATGTAAGTGGCAATCCCACCACGCGCGGTGAGATGCGTCCACCCATCGGCCTCCTCTCGTGGCTATGCGCGGTGAGGGGCAGGGAGGCGCGACGCTGCCCATCCACTGCTTACGCGCGGCGCGTAAAACTCCAACTGGAAAATGGTAAAAAACTTTTCTGTTTGCTTAGTCCCCTCTACCTTCCCGTGAACAGCGGTGAGAGCACTGCAGAATACCTTGTCTACATTATTTTATATGCACGAAAGGTTTGCCATTAATTAGTCTTACAAAAACATTGCAAATATCGCAAAGAAACCATTTTTAACATCTTGATATTCAATTATCTCAAAAACTTTACATATGAAATCTGTATTGCAACATCATTTTCAGCATCAAAATCTAGAGGTCCTCTTGTCTACTTAAAAATAATAAAAACATTTTTTTCTTGTGAACTTGTGTAATTGTTTTCTGTGTTCAATAATGGATCTATTATAAAGAATTATTCCCTATTATAAGAAGACATTCATGTCATAGTTTTCTAAACGAGTAATATTTTTATTTTTATTTGCAAGTAATAATTGTTATTTTTGCAATTCATGAGAATGGTGAATTAGGGAACATAGTACATTTTATCATAAAAACACAGTTTAAACAAGGATCTGTTTTTCATATTCAAAACATAAGGACCGAATAATATATTGTATTTAAATGTACAATAAAAATAATTAAGAAATTTTAATTAATGTTTAATTTATATATGCTTATAAAAATTCGTGTATTTTTCTATTTTTACTATCCTTACTTCATATTTTATTTCGGTTTCTATTTAGCCGTAACCACCTGCAAACGGAATGTGGTTGATTATTCCACCTGTTTAAAACGCGCTTTAGAGGAAGCATGGCCACGATTGAGTAAAGGTATCCATTAAACAAATTTTTTTGCTTCTAATTTCCCGTATCTTTTAAACAAAATATGTGCATTACTATTTACAATGACGTCACAGTGACATTAGAAATATTTATAATTATTAAACAATTTTAATAAAGAAAATTAATTCATTAAGTAATATATATAAGCAATGTATAAAGTTTATTTATTCATATGTTCAAGTATGTCTTATTCCTATTCGTAGGATTACCGGAATATGATTTGCCACCTTTGGATCCACTATTTTACAATTATGGTAAAGCTGTATTCAATTCTGGTGCGCTACGTGGGGATATAAGATTTTTTAATCTCACTTGCATCGGATTATCCCAAAGTCATTTTTCTGATATAAGAGCATATTACACTGATGAGGTCTTCCATGTAGAAATTGACATACAAGTACCGCGAATATTTGTAGAGGGTATCGTAAAAGTAAATGGCAGTCTAAATGTATTCAAACTTGTTAGTGAAGGTAAGATAATTTTACTCATTTTACATAAACGAAGATACATTATTTATTTTATTGGATATATTTCTCTTTATAATAAGTATAATCATATATAATATATAATATATAATAAGTATATCATGTGTGTATACACGTTATACGTCATTTTTACAAAGAATTAGCATATGTTTTGTTATAATCTCATTATTAAATCCATTAAAATGATTAAGAACATCAATTAAAACATTTACAGTTTCACAGTCACACATTAAATACACAGTCTTGTGTATTTAATAGTATACATGTATATGTATATGTGTAAGTATATGTATATAGAGTAAGTTACCCGAAAATGGAATACTTTTTCTCGGAAGCATTTTCACCATCTTCTGAATTGTTTAAGAAGACGGTATATGTGTTCATCGAAAGAACGTTTAATCCAAAACTGATATATTACGAAATTTCAAGATATTGCGTTTCCTTTCTTTTAACTCTTAGTAGTCGATATTAACGACAAGGGATCGCCAATATAGTTTGAATTATGATAATAATACTGTTTCATACCTATATTAGGAGAGAGAAGCAATTTATAACGTGATAAAATCAAACCTTTTTTATCATATATAAATACTGTAATTGCAACAAAATATGAAATCAATATTTAATAAAATATAAAACATATGAACACCGTAACATCTGTAGCAAATAAAAACATTAATTTTTGGTAATCGATATTACAACTAAAATCTAACACAGTTCAACGTAATTCGAGGCTACTCATTTTGCATATTTTATATAAGTAATTTTACATCACTTTGTTTATTATTAGGCCCTTACATTAAGAAAACCAATTATTCATTAATTTTATCACGTGAAACTATAGGATAGCAAATAAAACCAATAGTAATCATAAACGTGAAAACGCTTTGTGTTGGTATATGTATTTTTAACTTTCGGAAGATTAGAAAATTTAATAATCAATTTTTCACACATTATAAACAAAAATCTTGTGCGTACAGGGATTGATGTCGTAGACTTACTACTTATACACTGTCGAAAGACAAAGAAGTTCTGCTACTTGAGAAGGGATGATTGTTTTTGGTTGTTTAAAAGCAATCATGTCAGGAACCTATTTCATATATTCGGCCAATTTATCCTATATTTATGTACACGTAACTTATAATAAAATATATTATACAACTATAAATCTATTTCTAATATAAAATTAATTAATGATAAGTGTTTATAATTTGACGATTTTGAAAGAAGTAGTTAAAACTTTTTAAAATTACCGTTGTAATGAAAAATAATACATATTTATGTAATTGTTACAATTTATGTAACAGGATACACCAACGTAACCGCAGTTGATGTCACTGGAACATGGAATTTAACAGGACATGTAGTAAACAATACGTGGATTGTTGAACATTTTCGTGTAGCTCCATCAATGAGAAAGCTTACAGTTTATGCCGACAATTTAATCGAAGGCAGTAAAGAGCTTAGTAAGTATACAACAAATTTAGATGTATCTACACATCTTTATCCTTCCAAATATGCATTGAATTATCAGAATGTATATACCTATATCTAATTTATTTTAATGTGATTAAATATATGTAAATTGCTACATCTTGATCAATATTACGTAGAATAATTAATTAAGAACAAATAAATCATAATTTGTACAAGTATACGAAAATAATATAATATAATATTATAAGTTACTAAAACAGTGTAAATTAAAATATCCATATAATTGTGAAATTGAACTACTTAAAAATATGGGAAATTAGAAGTCTATTAGAAGTTGTAGTCATATTTTATTACCTTTGTCGCAATATTTTTCTATTAGAATTTTACTATTTTATTTATTTTGTACAGACTTGGGGCTAATTTCACAAACGTCGATTAATTGTTAACCAGAATACGTTCAGTCAACTCCCTATCTTTTTCTATCTTGTTCTCTAAGAAGAGAGAGAGAATCAATTAACCTTCGGTTAGCAGTTAACCGACGTTTGTGAAATTGGCCCAAAAAATTGCAAAATAAAAATACCTAGTTAATTCTGCAAATATTATATTCAAGTAAAATTTCCTATTAATTTGTTTACTGAAAAACATTTTTTATTTACAGGTGATGTTATTATTACTTTTGTAAACGAATATTGGCCGTCGATATATCGGGCAATGTTGCCATTTATGATCGACTTATGGGATCCGTGGTTAACTAGGTATCCTAATGCATTCTTCTCCAAAGTTCCCTTCTCAGAAGTTTTTCCGTAAAATTCATATGTTTATTGTATCTACATCGATAGAATACTGCAGAGCTCGGCGAGATAGGTCACTTTGCGGCCAATTTTCAGTTTACTTCGCCCGCCGCTATTCCCTTTACCTCGCCGTCCCGCGCGAAAATCCGTGGATTATGCCTACTGTGGATACTACTATAAAAAATAAGGCGTTAACAATAGTACCTCAAGGGTGACGAGAAAACCTATTGAAAAGACATTCACGCTCCTGAACCTCGAGCGGCTCGTGGGCTTTGCGCAGGACGGCGAGGTAAAGAGACTAGCGGCGGGCGAAGTGAACTGAAAATCGGCCGCGAAGTGACCCATTTAAAACAAATATTTTCTATTTTTTATATTTAAAAGTAATGTAATTAATCAATAAAAATAATTACTAAATTTAACAATATTTTTTACTTAAAAAAGGTAATATTGCGTGTTGGGAATTTTATTATAATTTATCTCATAAATTACAGACTCCACGTGTATTAAAATAATAAATATCATATAATCATATTTCTTCTACTTCATACTATTGCACATACATGCTGTAGATAAACGATATCGTTCTCTTATTATATAAAAATTATAATAAAGTAAAGTTAAATTCTTCAAAATAAAATATTAAGTAACATAGATTTAAACCATTTTCATAACTCACCAACAGATACGTAAATAGTTACAAATTTTTTACAATTTTTTTTCCAAGCATTGTTCTCTTTTATGCATTTTCTTCCTCCTTGTTGGAGTTGTCAATAGATCCAGGGAACACATGCGCGGCGATGAGCGGTAATCGCGGCGCGATCGTCGAAGCCTGCGCGAATCGCACGGCGATCACTCGCCATAATCGAATTCGGAGCGGATCGCTCGATCATTGCGGCGCGCATACTTTTGCCTTAGTGAACTGAATGAGCGAGTTCGCAACACGCACGATTGTTAGAGAACGTGTTGCAAAACGATTCAAAAACAAGTCGAGATTTTGCAATCGCATCTCGGGCGGTCTGACGAAAGCTCCCCGAACAGCGAACGTAGCGAACGATCGGTTGAAGTGAAGATGGCTTGCGCACATTCCGTACACGGACCATCGATCCATTCACGGCTGTTCATCGCGTCAGACGCCTCAAGCGACGTCCGCCATTCGCCACGTGGCGAAGTTCGATCCTCGGAACGCTAGCTCCTGACACTGTGCACCGTACCAATAAAGGAATATAGCAATCTCACACGCCTTCTGCGTGAAACTCATTACTCAGTTTTGCCCATTTACGCTTTCCACCGAGAGCTTCAATCAAAGCTCGAAATAGTACATATCGGTCGAAGTCCGACCGGAAGATAACCAACTTACCACGTACGCATCGACACTCTTATAAATTAAAAAATGTTTTAAATATAACTGTTTATAAAATATATCATTTACAGCTGTCCAAGAAAAGTATTAATTAGTATACATATATTATAATAAAGAAAAGTCTTCTATTGTGAGATATGATTCTTACATAAGATAATTACACGCTAAAGATTACATAAGTTTGAGTAATATATGTGTTTATCTCTCATATACGTCAGCATAATAAAATTTTAATAATAGACCTTGAGAACTTGTAATATAAAACGCAGAATCTATAATGAATCAACACTTTGTGCACGTATATGAAACAGGGAAAATGTTACTCTACGCGCTTAGTATACTCGGTATTATAATATTTGAATTATTTTCGGCTGCAGAATCCAATCTTCGTAAGTCTTCGTCGATCTCTTTAAAAATTGTATCATGTACTCATTTTAAATATATTGTAACTCCTATTTTTAATATTTATACAAATTATTTCATTTTCCTGAAGAGTTTGCAATAAAGCATCAGTATAAAGTTGATATAAACATCACTTCAAAACAGAAACTAATGCAATACTAATACGTTATATGTTTATGTTTCTAGTAACAAAGGTGTAACAAGTGAATAGACGGTCTACATAATGTAATAGTGGTGATTCTTTTTTCGTTTAAATACCTGAAAATTTCTATAATAACACAGATTTACAGCTAAAATTATTTCGGTCTGCGTGTTTGATATGAAATAAATAACTGAAAATTGATATACAAAATTAAAAAATGTATTTTACAGAGAATTAAATGCATTTAATGTTTCTGATTAAAATTTCTAGATATCATTAATTTTCGTTACAAAAGCGTTTCACGTACCACAAAAGTGTCACTTTAAACATCAATTATTACAACAACTTGACGTGTTTCTGAAATTTATGTCGCGACAATGTTTTCAGCATAAAAAACTGTATTTTAAAATATCCTGTCTAATTCACAATAATAATAAAAAGTTGTTACGTGTAAACTTGTATAATTGTTCTTCTGCAATTGTTATGGTATAAGAGATTTTTTCTTTTATTCGAAAACGTTCATTTCATATTTCTCCAAACAAGTAATGTTCTAATTTGTATTTGTACATGATAGTTTTTATTTTTGCTAATCTAGATTTTTAAGTTGTGGGACGTAGTACATTACCATAAAAAGAAAAAGGCTAAACAAAAATCAGCTTTTTCACTTACAACATAAACATCGAGTAAAACGCATATAATTAAAAAAAATTAAACTTTAGATTATGTGTAATAACAATTTTAAAGTATTTCTCTTATTGTATTACTGTTTTTATTCAGCTATAACCACGTGCAAACGAGACGTAGTTGATTATTCAGCCTGTTTAAAGCGCGCTTTAGAAGAAGCATGGCCACGATTTCTTAAAGGTATGCATTTAAATAGTATACATTTTTTTATTCTTATTTTCCATACCTTTTAACAAAATGAGCATTACTCTTTACAATTACGTTAACGTAACATTAGAAATATTTATAAATATTCATCGATTTTAACAAAAATATTAAGTAAAAAAGTAATGTATATAAACAATGTATAAAGTTATTTAAACACATTTTCATATGCGTTCTTCCTGTTGGCAGGATTACCAGAATATGATTTTCCATCTTTGGATCCACTATTTTATAAATACGGCAAATATATATTAACCTCTGGTGAAGTACGTGGAACACTAATTGTGTTCAATACTACTTGCACTGGATTATCCCAAATGCATTTTTCGGATATAAGAACACATTACAATGATGACGTCTTCCGTTTGGAAATTGACACACAAGTACCGTACCTGTTTGCAGAGGGTTCCTTTAATATAAATGGCAGTCTAAGTGTATTCAAGTTTCTTACTCAAAGTACGATAATCTATTTTACTCATTTTATATAAACAAACACACATTATTAATTTTATTAGATATATTCCTATTTATTATATAATAAGTATAATCATATATGTCTACACGTTACACACTATTTCTACAAAGGAATTAGCATAATCAATGCTGTGTTACAATCTCCTTATTAACTCAATTAAAGTGTTGCAAAACATCAATTAAAATGATTACAGTTTAGTAAATTTCATAATATGTACCTTTATGTATACATATTTAATATGTGTAAGTTAATGTATTGGGTAAGTTATCCGAATGTGAAATACTTCTTAAAAGGTATTTAATTACTTTCTATGTTGTTTAAAAAAATCATTCTTTTAAATAATCTGATAAGTAACAAATTTACAGATTTTTTATTTTTATCCTGTGTATTTCATATTAGCGACAGCAGATCGCCAATATGAGATACGCCGGTGCTAGTTGGAAGCATGGAATTCTCTCTTATGTTAGATGACAAATTTTATAAAATGATGAACCCAAATACTATCATTTATCAATACTTTAATTGCAAATTCAAAATCTAAATTCCAAATCGTTTAATAAAATACAAAACTAATAAACATAACTTCTGCAATAAATAATAGCAAATTTCCAAAGTACGTTTTTCTTAATTTCTGCTCGGCTCTCTACACACTCCCGAAGTTTAAATTTGAGACACTCTGTATACAATATAAAATATATATTACACATACATCTACTTCTAATATTAAGTTAATTATTACAGTAATCACTAAGTATAATTTAGCAGTTCTAAAAAGAATCGGTACAACTGTTTAAAATTCTCGTTGTAGCGAAAAATAATATATATTTATACATATATCATTGTTATTATTAACGTAACAGGTTATTTTAACCTAACCATACATGATGCCAGAACAACATGGGATTTGACAGGACACCTAGTAAATGATACGTGGATTGTTGAACATTTTCATGCAACTCCATCAATTGGGAAAATGAAATTTTATGCCGACAATTTAATCGAAAGCAGCAAACAGCTTAGTAAGTTTAAAACACATTTAGATATAACTACATACATTTTTGTTATCCTACCAAATATGCAGTAAATTTCAGCCGGTGAAGGAATGCAAAGCCAATGCGAGCCGTACGCAAAGATTAAGGCGTAATCTTGTCCGTCATCACGGACTTTTAATATTAAAATTGTAAATTCAAATCACAAACGTTTCATTCCCATTTGGATCATCTTTAGTGTATATAAAATTTATCTACAAAAGTTGAAATCATGTAAAGTACAATACGGCGGAAACAAAACGGAATAATTTGAAAAAGAAGTTTCAACCACAATTGATGAAACGAATTTATAAACTAAAATCTTAGTGTCTCTTGAGACAAACGTCGATGTATCTCGTTATCTCACATTCCAAAAGTATCGTAGCACTGACATTACTTGCAAGGATGTAAGGAAGAACGCAAGATGTAATAGATAATAACTGTAATTATAAATCACGATAGAAAACAATGAACGTTCTCTTATAAGACAAGAGACTCGCTCGAGAAGAAAGAGAAAAGTCGACGTAAATTATCAGAATGTATACGTATATCTACTTTATTTTAATACGATTAAATATATGCAAATTGCAACATCTTGATCAATATAACGTAGAATAATTAACTAAATACGAATAAATTATAATTTGTACATAGATACAAAAATATTATTATAAATTACTAGAACAGTGTACACTAGAATATCCATATAATTGTAAAATTAGACCACTTAACAATGAGAAAAATTAGAAGTCCATTATAAATTATGGTTATTTTTTGCCTTTATCACAGTATTTTTCTATTAAGATTTTACTATTTTATTTACTTTTCACAAACATAAAATTTCAAAATAAAAGTTGTTAATTCTGCAAATATTATTTTTATATAAAATTTTGTGTTGATTTGATTTTTTCTGAAAAACATTTCTTATTTACAGATGATGTTGTTGTTAATTTTGTAAACGAATATTGGCCAGCAATATTTCGAACAATGTTACCATTCGTGGTCAAAGTATGGGATCCATGGTTGGCTGAATTTCCTAATGCAATCTTCTCCAAAGTACCCTTTTCAGAAGTTTTTCCATAAAATTAATATTTTTATTGTACATACATCAAATAAATGCTAAATTCTTCCTAGATTTGAGGACACGTTCAGTTTTGCAAAAGATATATTGTTAAATGTGTCTCATTAGCTTATTCCTTAATTAATATTTGTTTTCAAATGTTATATGTAAATATAATGTATAAATAAATTGAAGTATTAACTTAAGCGGAAAATTATATATTAATTATGTCGAATACTGAATACCTTTAAAAAATTTTTTTAATTAGAAAAAGATTAAATTACGCATTAGAAATTTACTTATTATTTATCTTATAAATCATTAATTATTACTATACGTGTATCAAAACAATAAAGTTAATGATAATATTTTTCTGAGATTATTTTGTTCATATGCAAGGTGTTATGTAATACCCGCCTCACCTCTTAGTTACGGATACCTTCCCGTGAACAACGGTGAGGACACTGCGGAACACCCTGTCTATATTATTTTATATGCACGGAGGGTTGCTATTGCAAAGCACCAATATAAAGTTGATATAAACGTGACTCCAAAACAGACAATAATATAATATTAACACGTATGTATATCTTTGCAGCAACAAAGGTATAACAAGTGAATAGACTGTTTCAGTCATATTTTTTTCATTGCAATACCTGAACATTTCTATAATTAGATTTACCGTCAAAACTTGTTTCAAGCTACGTGTTTGATGCTAAATAAAAAGTTGAAAAGTGAAATACAAACATCTAAAAAATTTACTTTATAGAGAATGACCAATGCATTCATGACATCTGATTAGAATTTTAAAACATCATCAATTCGACTCACAAAAACATATAATAAATAACAGTGGCTCGTATGATAAAATCGACTAATAAAATAAGAGACTCAGAGCCAGAAAATGGTCCAATAAGGACCGAAAGGCATATATGCATTTATAATTAAGTAAAAAGTTGTTTGGACACCACAATCTTGTTCTGGCTCTGAGCTCCTTCTTTTATTATTTGATCATACAAAAACATTGCAAATATTGCAAAGAAACCATTATTAACATCTTAATATTCAATTATCTCAAAAACCTTACTTATGAATTCTGTGTTGCGACATCGTTTTTAACATAAAAAATGTAAAGGTCCTTGTCTACTTAAAAGTAACTATTAAAAAGTAAAAAAAATTATTTCCTCGTGAAATTGTGTAATTGTTCTTCTGTGTTCGTTAATCGGTCTATTATAAAGAATTATTTGATATTATTAGAAGACATTCATGTCGTAGTTTTCTAAACAAGTAATAGTTTCATTTATATTTGAAAGTAATAATTGCAACTCACGAGAATGGCAAATTATATAGAGCATTGTACATTTTATCATAAAATCAGATTAAACAAGAATCTGTTTTTCATATTCAAAACATAAGCATCGAATATATACTGTATTTAAATGTACAATAAAAAAATTAAAAAATTGTAATTAAAGCTTAATTTATACATATATGCTTATAAAAATTCGTGTATTTTTCTATTTTTACTATCTTTACTTCATATTTTATTTCGGTTTCTATTTAGCCGTAACCTTCTGCAAACGGAATGTGGTTGATTATTCCACCTGTTTAAAACGCGCTTTAGAGGAAGCTTGGCGACGATTTATTAAAGGTATGCATTTAAAAAACATTTTTCTTTTTCTAATTTTCCGTGTCTTTTAAACAAAATATGTGCATTACTATTTACAATGACGTCACAGTGACATTAGAAATATTTATAATTATTAAACAATTTTAATAAAGAAAATTAATTCATTGAGTAATGTATATAAGCAATGTATAAAGTTTATTTATTCATATGTTCAAGTATGTCTTATTCCTATTCGTAGGATTACCGGAATATGATTTGCCACCTTTGGATCCACTATTTTACAATTATGGTAAAGCTGTATTCAATTCTGGTGCGCTACGTGGAGATGTAAGGTTCTTTAATCTCACTTGCATCGGATTATCCCAAAGTCATTTTTCTGATGTAAGAGCACATTACACTGATAAAGGTCTTTCATGTGGAAATTGACGTACAAATACCGCGACTATTTGTAGAAGGTATCGTAAAAGTAAATGGGAGTCTAGATGTATTCAAACTCGTTAGTAAAGATATAATAATGTATTTTACTCATTTTAATGATTAAATATATGTAAATTGCTACAACTTGATCAATGTTATGTAGAATAATTAATTAAGTACAAATAAATCAAAATTTTTACATGTATACCAAAATAATATTGTAAGTTACTAGAACAGTGTAATTTAAAATATCCATATAATTGTGAAATTGGACTACTTCAAAATGTGGGAAATTAGAAGTCTATTAGAAGTTGTAGCCATATTTTATTACTTTCAAATTGTAGTGACGGCTCTCAATCAAATAAAGGTAGGTAGGGAGAAATGGCCAATGCGAGCCTCCAGCAGGTGTCCGTGCGAAATTATCGATGTTTTTTGAAAAAACACACTTTATTAAAAGATCCAAACGTTTCGACCCGTTTTTGGGTCATCCTCAGTGAAGCTGGGATAAAAGTTATGATACTAAGTAAGATTAAGCGATGTTACAACATATTAATATGAATTTTTTACAATGTAGTGATTAATACCTGATTATAAATAATTAGACTTAATCTGATCCACTGTTCGCACGACTGTCATCTATTATCAACGCAATTTTGTCTTTGAACTGGTGTTTGCCAAGTAAAGAGTGCGATTTGTATAATTGATAATTCTAAAAGTTTAAGAATCTATTTCGTTAAATTGTTCGTTAAACTTTGAAATGTGATAACTCACCCAAGTTAAGAGAGGACAGTCACGACGAGTGGTAAATAACAATTGACAATGACTGGTGGTAATGCGAAGATATAAGTCTATACGGTGTAGCAGGATTGCCATAACAATATTTGAGTTGGTAATGTAACTATACTATATTGCTAGTGTCAAATTTTTAAATATCATCCATGTTGTCAATAATATGGTCATATGTATTTAAAAGATCGGTATCGGTCTGTAAGTTAAGTCTAGACTTTTGTCTTTTTATATGAATCATTTCAGAAATTAGTCGTTTATATAAAAATGTCTCTCTATCTAGAATGTCAACATTGTCCCAATCAAATTCATGGCCTAAGAGTCTGTGTTCAGTAATTACTGACTGTTGTTGGGTATTTCTGTTAATGTGATTGCGATGTTCTTTAGTTCTCGTATTTAATAATCTACCTGTTTGGCCCACATACGAAGCGTCACAGTCTTTGCACGAGATTTTATACACTACATTTTTTTGAGCACTTTTAGGAAAA